TTGAAGCTCCCCCGGGTTTTTTTGACACAGCTCTTTGCCAAAGTTTGCAGCTGTATCAATGCAGGGACAAGGTGCACAATTCAGTGAACAGGATGCTGCTACTTTGCAGTTTGTTAGTGCAATTCAGAATCCTTAATTCAATTTCAAAATCAGTTTACAAAAAAAAAAGAATAATTCACAAACTCCCTCCATTTTTCTACTACCTGGAAATCACTGTGAGCCCCAGGCAGGCAGAGGAGGAAAGTGCCAGGACCAGTGGTCTGCAGGGGAGAGCAGAGACATCGGGGTTGCTCTGCAGTGCTCCGTGAGGGGCTCGCAGGGACCCGGGGGCTGAGTTTGAGTGCAGAGCCCGGGCAGGTCTGGGGAGATGCTGCAGAGACGCCGCTGCTGCTCCCCTCTGGTACCCCCTGCTGTCCATTGTCTGGTCGGGAAGGGCTGTTACACCCGCACCGATCACCCGGCAGGATGTGGTGCCTCATCTGCTGGCAGAGGGGGCCTGGGGGTCCAGGTGAGTGGGAAGAAGCCCAGAGAGCTGGATGAGACAATGATGCTGAGTCTCATTGTAGCAACTGGGATAGGATGTCCCTGGGAAATGGGAAGCAGGATCTTCACTGTCCCTTGTAGCTACTCTGAGTATCAAAACCGTGCTCGGTGTGAATTCTTGGGTCACTGAGGGTTTTGTTTTGGTTTTTTTACTTCTCGTTTGCAGCCTCGCTGGGAGCTGTGTTTGGCTTAGGTACCTGCCTCAGTGCCCAGGTCCGGGAGGAACCTCATAGTCCCTTGGACTATTTTGTTGGTGGCTGTGCCTCAGGAGCTGTCGTGGGAGCGAGAGGTAACTGTGCACAACGCCTGCAATGAAATGAGCCCTTGCTGGTTTTAGAAACTTTTGCATTGGGGAAAAATGTTAAACAATGTTGGTGTCAGGCTTCTTTGGTAAAGATTCGTCTCAGCCTCTGATTCATGCCAGTTTTGTTGGCACTCCATTGTACAGGTCTGCTAAAATAAACAGGGCTGCAGGAGGGAGGACGTGGAAGGGAACATAAAGTGATACACAGAATGAAAGCAGGACTGACCTAATACTGCCAGTTAGAACTACCAGTTATACCTGAAAATTGCAGGATATGAAAGATGTAGTTATGGAAATACATGTTTTCTTGGCAACGAGTGTGATTTATTTTATGCAGAAAGTACAGTCTAATGTCTGCCTTGTGAATTCTTCACATGGTCTGAGGGACAAGCTGTGTCCTGCTGCTGTTGCTCCTGTGGCCCTTTGTCAGGCTTGAGCAGCTCCTGCAGGTGCTACCACAGCTCTGTTTTCTGTAGGCATTCAGACTTGAACCTAAAGAAGTGAGGGATTTATTTAAGGTGTAATTGTGGTGAAATAGAATTTATCTTTACTTGTCTTAGCTGATGAGCCTGATGAAAGTTCAAAGCAGGAATTGTAACTTTTGTCACTCAAATGAGCCATTTAAGACTGCCCATGTAAAGGGATGGGGCAGTGGGTTATCAAAACTGATATTTCAAGTTGCAAGCTAAAAGCGTGAGAAAACTCAATTCTATAAAAAAGTTACTTTTCCAATCTCTCTGGGCAGACAGTGTTGCTGATGGTCAAGGGACCTACGAAAAATGGCAGAGTCTGTTGAATCTGTTGCACAGGACTTGTGCCCTAACTGGTCTTTTCTGGTTTGATGTGTCTCCTCCAGCTCGCAGTTACTTCGCTGGCACCACGGCTTGTCTGGGGCTCGGATTCACTGCGGCCCTCCTGAAGATTGCAAACATTGAGGGCTGGAGGCTGACGGGACCTCCCAAGCTGTAAATGTCGCCTTTCCTCCCCGTGAGCTGGTTTCCTAATGCTCTGTGTACTTAGGACGTTGTATAATAAAGGTTTGGTCAAACCAGCAGTTGTCACAACATTGTGGTGTCCTGTGGCTGCTCCTGGTGTTTGGGCTGAGGTGCAGGAAGCTGGAGCAGCTGGAGGGGAGGTGGGATCTGCTGCTCCTCTGCTGCTCCTGCAGCAATTTCTGTGCACGAGTTGTTTTGCCTCCCTCTCTCAGCATTGTGTGCACAGGTGTGAGGGCTGCACTGGAGCTTCAGAGTGATTCTTGTAGTCTCCTGTGGGTCCTGCAGGACTGTGTGACAGGAATTGGGATTGCACCACACTGAGCCCATCTGTGAGGGTCTGGAGCCAAAGCTTCTGCAGTGGTGCTTTGGCTCTGGGCTGAGGATGGGGAAGGTGGGCTGAGGAGGGAGGTGTGGGTTGCCCACAACAGGGTGTCTGTGAGCCTGGGGACTTTGTCCAAAAAGCATTTCAGGAAGTGCAGAGCCAACAGCTTCAGGGTTGGAATTGAGGAATATCTGAAGCTGAAAGGGACCCTTGGATGCCATCTGAGAACTGGAGCGGGTTGCTTATATCTGTGTCTGGTTCAGTTTTCTGTGAACAAACTGAACTGTGTCCAGCAAACCCACCAAGAAGGTGGAGAGCAGGAAGGCACAGGATGCACAAGGAGAGGTGAGAACAGGATCATTCCACCTGGAGAAAAGAAGGTTAAGGGCTGATCTAATGGCTGCAGAAAGGGCAGGCTCGGGTGTGCAGCAAAGTGTGGGAAGTAACAAGCACAAGTCACAGATAAGGAAATTCTCACTAGATAGAAGGAAAAAAACCTGACAGGCAGGGTAGGTAAATGCTGAAAAATGGACTTGGAGGGGCTGTGAAAACATCTTTGGGGACACAACTCAACTGGACACGTGGGAATACTGGGGTACAGAGATGGGACATTAGGGGATGGGTGTGTGAGTAATGGAGACAGAGAATGTGGGTATGGGGGACACAGGTGTGGGACAGGGATGTGGAGGTGTGGGGGGAGGGAACAGGAGCCAAGGAGATTTGGGCACCAGAGAACAAAGAGGAAGGGACAGTGATAAGGGGACACAGTCACAGCCACAGCAGGCTGTGTTGCTCTGGTATGTGCTCTCTGTGGGCAGGTGGGGTCCTGGGCAGGGTGCAGGGTGGTTCTGGGGGCACTTGGCTGGGCCAAAGGTCTGGTATCCCCATGTGCCCTTGGGGCTGGTACCCCCAGCCCTTTGTGTGTGGGTCAGTGGGGCTGGGCTGCAGCTCAGAAGTGCAGTGGGTGGTGGCAGAGGTTTCACCCCTCACCACGGGAATGGGGGAGCAGGGGGATTGTCTGTCTCCCACCCAAGGACTTCTGAGGGGGCCCTGCTTCACTGTGGGCTCTGGAGGTGATCAAGATTACAGAGGGATCTGATGGGCCAGAGACCTCCAGCAGGACCTGCCCAGGGTAACCCCAGGTTTGCAGAAGCTCCTGGCAGCTTCAGCTGGCCCTGCTGCTTGTCCTCAGGGAGCCCACTGACCCCACCGGCCCAGCCCAGGGCTCGGGGCCTTGGACCTCCCTCTGCCTGAGCCTCTCGCAGCTCCTGCCGGGGCCACGTGTCCCTCCCGGGCTATAATTAACCGGGCGCATTCCTGGGGGGTCACAGGAGCTTCCCGGCGCGGCGGCAGGCGGTAAGGGGGGACGGGTGCAGGGCACAGCGTGCCAGGCCAGGCCACGCCACGCAGCAGGGCAGGACACGGCACACGGTCCCGCCGGGCTGCAGGGCGAGGACGCGACACCGACACCGCGCAGGCAGAGAGAGACACGGGGGCGTGGGGGCCACGGCGGGCGGGGCAGCACCCTGTGTGACGCGGTGTGTGCCACGGGAGCCAGCACACCCCGGCAACCCGTGGGCCGGGGGAGCAGGACACACAGAAACCTGTCACAGACAACCCTCGGGGCGACGCGTCGCGATGTGCGATGACGGGCAGTGTGACATGACGGGCAGTGTGACATGACGGGCAGTGTGACATGACGGGCAGTGTGACACACGACAGGCAGGTGCTGCCATGCACCGTTCAGGTGTGACAGGCCCTTTGCTGGGAGCTGTGCCAGGGACCAGCGGCTTTGTTGTTCTTGGAGCATCAGTGGTGTCAACTATGGGGCAACGGCAGAGGAAGGGCTTGGTGGCGTCTGCTCCAGGACTGAAGGTGTGACTGGGGACAGAGGTTTGGGCTATGGGGCTGTGGGGCAGCAGCGTTGGCTGTGGGGCAGTAGCTTCATGCTAAGGGTTCGGTGATGGGGCAGATGAGGGGATCAGGCTCAGCTGTGGGGCATTGAAATGGACTGTTGGTCTCAACTATGGGGCTGCAGTTTTGCCAAGGAGCATCAGATTCAGTGATGGGGCAGTAGCAGGGCCTGGTGGCCCTGGCTGTGGGGTAGAGGCTTTGGTGGTGGATCCAGTGGCTTTTGCTATGGGGCAGTGCCAGTAGCAGGACCCCATGTCTCCAGCCAGGACTCCTGCCATGGGCAAGAGGCTCTGGTTATGGGGCCAGCACCCTGACCTCCTCCTCCATGTGTCTCCACAGGCAAGATGTGGGTTGCAGAGGGATCAGCCCCAACCCAGTGGAGCCTGCGGGATGGGGCCCACGCTGGACAGTTCCTGGCTATGGCTGACAACCTCCGCACCGTGGGACAGCTGGTGGATGTGGCCGTGGGACCAGAGGGTGACAAGGCTCATGCTGTGGTCCTGGCCTCCATCAGCTCCTTCTTCCTCCGCTTCCTGGAGGGCAGGACCAGAGGGCTTTGCCAGGACTCCCCACCCCATGTCCCTCTGCCACCCGGGGCCACGCTGCAGGGCTGGCGGGCCGTGCTGGCCTTTGCCTATCGGGGAGCTGTGCCCCGTGGCCAGGAGAGGGAGGTGCAGGAGGCTGCCCGGGCCCTGGGGGCCCCCCGGCTGGTGGCCGCCTGTGCCCAGCGACTGAAGATTGACCCCAAGGAGGAAGGACCTGAGGCCCTGAAGGAGCAGTGGGAGACACTAAGAGCCATGGAGCAGCTCCATGCCAAGGGCCTGGGCTGTGACCTCCAGCTCCAGGCAGGGGACGAGGTCATTCCAGGTGAGCTGGGGGTGAGGAGGGGGACAGGGCACTCTGGGATAGCCAAGTTCCCTGGTGGGGATGAGGCTCTAGAGGTGCCTGCAGGGCTGCTCCCCTTGGCAGAGTTGGGAGTTTGGTGGGCACAGGGACAGGAGACCTGAGTTTCAGGGGCTGCACAGTGCAGAGGGTCCCCCTCTGCCCTCCACCATTCTTCCTCCTTCCCCATAGTTCAGCGCCTGGCCCTGAGCTGCTCCTGTGACTTCTTCCGAGCCCTCTTCACCTGCCCAATGCGGGAGGCCACCCATGACCCTGCTGCCCCACTGGTCACAGGGCTGTCCCCGGCCGAGCTGCGCCTCCTCCTCTCCTTTGCCTACACAGGAGCTGTAGCAGGGCCATGGCCCACGGTCCTGGAGGCAGCTGAGACCTCCCTGCGCTACCAGGCCTGGGGGCTCCTCACTCTCTGCCTGGATGTTTTCACCCATGGCCTGACTCCAGAAACTGTCCCGGACGTCCTGGCCTTTGCTGTGACTTATGGACTGGACGAGGTGGGCCAAGCAGCAGAGAACTACATCTTGGCCACCTTCCCCAGTGTGGTGGCTACACCGGCCTTCCTGGACCTACCTGCACACCTTCTCATTCGCCTCCTCCGCTCTGATGGTCTCAACGTCCTCCATGAACTGGAAGCCTTGGAAGCGGCCTCCCGGTGGCTCATGGCCAATGGGGATGGCCAGGAGGATCTAGCCAAGGAGGTCCTGTCGTCTGTTCGCTTCGCCCTCATGTCTGGCCTGGAGCTGAAGAAGGTCCCCTCTGTGACTGCAGGGGTGGCTGACCCCAAGGTCCTCCGCGAGCTCGTGGTGTCGAGTTTCTCCCCCACGGCTCAGCTGCCGTGCCGGGTACGTTCCTTGCAAGAGGTGCTGGTGGTTTGTGGTGGAGACAAAGTGAAGGGCAACCTGGCTGCCCGGAAGCCCAGCAGACACCTCTGGTTTGCAGATCGCTACCTCAGCGCTGTGGGGCTGGTGAAGAAGGTTGAGTGGCGGGCACTGGGACACCTTCCTGACGGCCCACGATTCCGCCACGCTGTAACCGTGGTGGGCAACAATCTCTACGTCCTGGGTGGAAAGCACTACTACGGGGTCCATGACACCCTGACCAGTGTCTACAGGTGAGAGCTATAGAGGGCTTGGAGCTGCCGTGTGGCACCAGGACACCGCGGGATCAGAGGAGGTGTTGGTGGAGCTAGAGTTGGCCCGTGGACCCAAGACACTGAGGCATTGCAGCTGGTCAAGTGGGCCCAAGGCGTTCTGGGATGGGTTGGGTGAGAGGTGCCCTCCTGCTCTTGGGTGTTACATGCTTTTTGGGGGTGGGGCTGGGAGGCTCCCATGTGGAGATACCTCAGGTTGTTAGGAGTTTGGTATTGCCCAGAAGGAGGGGATATTCCCATGCAAGGCTACCATGTGACCCCAAGGCATTCTGGGACTGACAGGTTGTAGGTGGGTTGTTGCCCTAAATGGTGCCAACATGAGCTTTTGGTGTCGTAGGTGACAGGTAGTCTCTTGCCTCTTTGCCTCTCAACCCCAGGTACCAGCCTATGGATGATTCCTGGGAGCGTCTGGCCAGCATGACGTGTGAGCGGAGCTGCTTTGCTGCCGTGGCACTTGGGAATTTCATCTATGCCCTGGGGGGCAGCTCAGGAGAGCTCTTCTGCACAGACACTGTGGAGAGCTATGACCTGGCCAAGGACACCTGGAGGTGAGGCCGCTCCAGCAGATTCCTGCTTCCCTCTGCCTCGGACCCTCCTGCCTTGGCTGTGGTACCCACTGAGTGCTTTGGGTCACAGCCTCCAGTGGAGGATGGGCCTCCAGTGGCCTTTGGGTGCTGAGCAATTGTGTCCCTTGGGGACTGGGTGTTGGCTGGTGTTGCCTGGTGGGTGGCAAATGAGTTTTTGGCCAGTAGTGTTTACTGGAGGTCTGTTGGCCATCTGCCAATGAGACAGATAGTTTGATTATCTCACTGGCAGAGTGTTCATGGAGTGCTCTGCTGGGTGTTGGCCACTGTTATTCATTGAGGGGGTTCACTGTGGGTTTACCAATGGTGTGGGGACTACAAAGTGTTGAACAGTGATGCCCCTTGGGCA